CCTGGTCGCCCATGGCCTTCTGAGCGAGGCTGCTGGCGCCGCTCAGGCAGGTCAAGCACAACTGCGAGGACATCCATGTACAGCTGTACATCGACGACCGCACGTGGGAGAGCCCCAACACCATCACCATGCTCTGGGCCGCGGACTACTGGACGCCATGGTTGCAGGTGCTGGGCTTGAAGGGAAACGAGAAGAAGAAAAATAATAATAAGAATAATAATAATAAGCATAATAATAAGAAAACTAATAATAATAACAATAATAATAATGATAATAATAAGAATAATAATAAGAAGAAGAAGAAGAAGAAGAAGAACCAGCAGCGGATGCACCCGAACCCCCGCCGACGGCGGGAGCTTGCTGCTGCGGGAATAGAGCCAGCCACTGTCCACGTCGCCATCGACGTGCTGGGGGTCAAGACTCGCCCTCGGGGCTGCGCCAGACACAGGCTTCGGCCAAGAACGGCCCTCTGTGCATGAAGCAGGCGCACCCTGAAACGGGTCACCCTGCTTGTCAGTAGACGTTGTCGACCAACATGCTTGGTAAGACTACGCCCTCGCAGCGTCGTCGACGTCGCCGCCGCCGCCGCCGTCGTCCTCCTCCTCCTCCTCCTCCTCCTCGCCGATGCATCACGACGCGGTGTGATCTCGGGCCGCACCTGCTGCTCTGGGCCCATCGGGCAAGCCTCCAGACGCCAAAGCCTGCGCTGCCGCAGACCTCCGGAAGCCTCCTGCTGACCTGACCCTCCCCTGCTCGAGTCGGGAGCGTCCACAAGGGGTCTTGCGGAGAGCACTGGACGGCGCAGCAGGGCGCACCTCAGAGCGGGAGCAAACGAACCGCTCCAAACGGCACGGGCGCAGCTTGCGAGGGCGCGCCGGCTCCCGCGCCGGCTCCTGGACTCCCGCACCAGCGGAAGGAACAGAAAAAAAAGGACCTGTCCACAGCGGGGCCCATCTAGGTCGGGCGTGTCCCCCTACAGGCGGATTTTGGACGAACCAAGTAGAATACCCCAAAAATGCAGCACACATGTTCAAACATTGTAGAACAAAAAGCGTCCCCGGACTGTTGTTTGACTATTTTTGAATCTTCCCCCTGTAGAGGGACAGGCCCGACTTAGGGCCAATTTCCAGGGTGGCCCTCGGATGGATCAGGCAGCCGCTGCCGCGAGGAGCGGCGGGCCAGCTCCGGCAGGGTGCTGCCGCTGCGCCGCGGCCTCCTCGACGGAGGGTGCCCCGCCTCTCTGCGTCGCCCGGCCTGGGAGCCCAGAGCCGACCCCCGGTGCCGCGCGCAGCAGGGCTCGGTCATTGATGGGGCTGTTGTCCACCACCACCACAAGTTGGAGGGGGGAGGGGGTCCTCCTCCCCCTCTTCTTCTTCTTCTTCTTCCCCCTCCTCATCCTCCTCCTCCTAATGATGCTCCACCTCCTTCCCCCCTCCAACTTCTGATGGGTGATGGTGGAAAACGGGCCCATCAATCATGGCGCTGGCCAGAGCGGTGTCCAAGCGGGCACGCACCCTCGGCGACTTCGCCCGGGAGCTGCCCTGGCGGCAGAAGGCTAGCTTCGCCGCCGAGGTCAACAGGCACCTCGAGTGGACGGGCTGTAAGCCACCACGCGCGGTGGACTTGGAAGCACACTGGATTGGAAGATACCATCATCTGGCTGGACCACACCAGCCATGAATGGAGGCGCCCCAGAGCGCTGGGGTACGTGCTGCGCGAAGCCTGGCGCCACGCCCAGTACGACAGCTTCCTCAGATCCAAGCGACACGACGCGGCCATCATCAGGCAGCGCGGCATCGGCTACAGCGCCCCTGCGGGGCAAGGCCGTGCTCGTGCTAAAGTGCGATGAGGGTACTGGCAGGCGCCGTCGTCTCGCCCATGTGCAATGCTGCCGCCAGGAGGGATCCTGGCCTCCGGGAGTGCCCCTGGTATGGTGCACCGCAGGGAACGCTGGACCACATAGCGTGGGTGTGAGCTCGAGTGCCTGGCCGGCCTCTGGCCCGGCCCGCAGATGTGCTCCTGCGCAGGCTTTTTCTGGCCGAAAGGTACAAAGGCGGCGCGGGCAGTGGACGACGCCATCATCCACTGGGCATGCACGCTGGACGACCATCTCCTGTATGAGAGGTACCCTGCCAGCTTCGTCGCGACCTCTGGCGAAGCTGCTGCCAATCTGGCCTAGCAGACAATGGCGCCCGCGCCAGCACGGTATCTTTCCCCCAGGGCCGTAGGCGACCCGAGAAGGAGGAGGAGGAGGAGGAGGAGGAGGAAGGAGGGAGGAGTCGGAGGAGGAGGAGAGGCAGGACTGGAGGGAGGGGAGGGGCGAGGAGGTAGGAGAGGAGGGAGGAGGAGGGGAGGAGAGGAGGAGGAGCGGAGGAGGAGGAGGAGGATGGAGAGGCGGAGGAGGAGGAGGAGAGGAGGGTGAGGAGGAGTGGGGGGGAGGGGGAGTGGGAGAGGAGGGAGGAGGAGAAGGAGGAAGAGGAAAGGTCAAAGAGGGAGAGGAGGAGGTAGACGGAGGAGGAGGAAGAGAAGGGGAGGAGGGGCGACCCAGGAGGGGGAGGGAGGTGGATGAGGAGGAGGGGCAAGGAAGGGAGGAGGAGGAGGAAGGAGGAGAGGGAGGAGGAGGGGGGGGAGGGGGGGGTAGGGTGGAGGGGGAGGCGAGGAGGCAGGAGGAGCGGAGGAGGAGGAGGGTAGGCGAGAGGAGGCAGGAGGTGGGAAGGGAGGAGGGAGGAGGAGGACGGAGGAGAAAGGAGGTATGAGGCGGCAGTGAGGGAGGAGGAGGAGCGCAGGAGGAGGAGGAGGGGGAGGAGGAGGAGCAGGAGGAGGAGGAGGAGGAGGAGGAGGAGAGGAGGGAGGAGGAGGAGGAGGGGGAGGTAGGGGAGAGAGGGGGGAGGCAGGAGAGCGGAGGAGTAGGGAGGAGGAGGAGGAGGAGGAAGGAGGAGGGGCGGAGGGAGGGAGGAGCGACGGAGGGGAGTGAGGAGTGGGACGAGGAGGAGGAGGGAGAGGGGGAGGGGGAGGAGGAGGAGGAGGAGGAGGAGGAGGAGGAGGAGGAGGAGGAGGAGGAGGAGGAGGAGGAGGAGGACGACGACGAGAAGGAGGAGGAGGATGGAGGAAGGAGGAGGAGGAGGAGGAGGAGGAGGAGGAGGAGGAGGAGGAGGAAGAGGAGGACGTGTCGCCTAAGCCCTTCGGAGAAACCCTCCAATGCAAGGCGGGGGCTTAACCCGAGCCATCGTCCTGGAGATCGCTCTTCGGGGGGGCATCGGTGGGCGGTGTTGGCCCCCCCCCAAGGCCCGATGATTCCCGCATCCGCTGCCCGCCGATGTCCCCGAGCATCGATCTCCCAAGCGCCCACACACGCGCACGACGCGTCCACGGGGCGCCACAAGCCGTGGGAGTGCAGAAGGCATGGGCCGCGGACCGCAGCACACAGGAAGAAGAAAACACCATATAAACATCAGCTTCTGGCGCTCCGCGCGAATTTTTCTTGGATTCGCGCTGGACCCCCCTCCCTGGCGCGCGGAGCGCGCCAGGGGCGGCGCCGGAGGCGCCGCCTGGAGGCCCAAGCGCGGATCCAAGAAATCCGCGAGGAGCGCCACAAGTTATGTTTATGTGGTTTCTCCTCTATCGGGAGGTGCACGGTTTCCCCCTGGGCCGTAGGCGACCCGAGGAGGAGGAGGAGGAGGAGGAGGAGGAGGAGGAGGAGGAGGAGGAGGAGGAGGAGGAGGAGGGGGAGGAGGTGGAGGAGGAGGAGGAGGAGGGGGAGGGGAGATGGAGGGAGGAGGAAAGGGAGGAGGAGGATGAGGACGACGACGAGAAGAAGGAGGAGGATGGAGGAAGGAGGAGGAGGAGGAATGAGGTGGAGGAGGGAGAGGAGGAGATGGAGGAGGAGGAGGAGGAGGAGGAGGAGGAGGAGGAGGACGAGGAGGAGGAGGAGGAGGACGAGGAATGAGGAATGATGATGATGATGAGGAGGAGGAGGCGGAGGATGACTGTCTCTGGTACCCGTTGCTCTGCCTCTCCCTCGCCCTCCCCGTCCCCGCCCTGCAAGGACAGACCTCCGAGAGCGAGCGAATACGTCAAGAAGCCTCCCGAGCGCTTCGTCCTCCTCCGGTCGCGTGCTGCTAGTAGTGGTTCTGGCCCAAGGCGACCCCAGGATCCCCAAGGAGGCCCCCGCGGCCTCCAGAGCACCCCTCACGAGGCCCAGGGGCTCCAGAGTGGAGCGACAAGCCGAGGGGCGCCTTGGGCCCTGGGCACCTTCTCGGCAGACCCTGGTCGACCCCAACGTGCGACGTCCTACATTCTTCCATGCGCCACGGTCCCCGGGGGTCCAGACCCCTTCCCCAGGGCTGGCTTATCCTGCTGCACTCTTTCCCAACGGCCCGCGCGACCCGGCGAGCTGGCCCCCCGGAGGCCGCAGCTGGCCCAAAGCAGCTCCCGGATAACTTTTTGTTTGCTTTTGTTTTCCTGCGGGCGCCCTCTCTGAGATTGCTCTCTAAGGGGCCCCAGGGTTAGGTCGGGCCTGTCCCCCTACAGGGGGATTCTGGGCGAAAGATTAAAGATACCCCAACAATGCCCCCGAATGGTCAACAAATAATTTGAAACAATCGTCCCCAGAATATTTTTTACTATTTTGGAATATCACCCTTTCGAGGGACAGGCCCGACATAAGCCCAGGGGACGAAAGCAGCCCCCGGATCTCTCCTGGGCTGCGGTCTGGCCAAAGCCTCGAGGCGTAGGGTGGCCGGGAGGCCCGAGAGGCATCGATCCTCGAGGTCTGGGCCTTGGTCCTCGAACCCGTCGAGCATTCTGAGACGACGCCAAGACGAGGATGAAATCGCACGGGGATAAACCGAGAACCTCTGAGATCCAGCGGCTCTGGAGGATGTCTCGGGCGCTGCGGCCTTCTCAGAGCGTTCCAGAACGCTCTGAGACGGATGTATCCTCGCCCTAGCCCCGCCCGACGTTCCGTGCGCCCCAGGAAGAGCTGGCATCGGGCCGCAAAGCCGGATCGGATCGGAAAATCGGCCGGATCAGGCCGCTCCAGACTGGAGGCGGAACCGAATCGCACTGGCCGAGCCACGCTGCACACCTACACCATGCAGGCGCAACGGGCCCTTTTCGCATCGTCGGAAGCTCAGGACCGAGCCGGACCCGGCTGGCCGGCAGCGACACGGGCTCGGACCGGTCGGATCGAGACGGACCCCGGCGCCCCGGTCCTCCGTCAACTGCTTCACGCTGCCCACCCACGCGCCCGCCGCGTCCGGCTCGATGACCTCTCCGGCCGGAGCGACGACGACGAGGACGACGGCGAGGATCACGGCGAGGGCGACGACGAGGACGACCAAAGGGAGACGGAGAAGACGACGTCGAGGACAACGACGAGGACGACGACGAGGCGGCTCCGGTGGAAGCTTACCAAGTGAGGCCGAAAAAGACGGGGTCGGTGGATCACACCGCGTCCCAAATGCAACGGCGACGCAGCGTGATCCTCCAGCCCCATCTGCTCGGACCCCATTTGGGAAGCCTGGATTAACGTTTCGTTGGCAACTGATGGGAGGCTCCCATGACATCTTGCTGGCTCTTGCGAATCAGCGCTGCCCAGTTATCGACTCTAATCGATGCTAAATCGACGCTGATCCAGGCCACACCGGCATGGGACGCACAAGGACATGCTGGTGCTGTGCGTCCTTCTTGGAGGCATGCGCCCGACCCGATCATATAGTATACAGTATACCCATCTTGTAGTAGATCGTTTCGCGAGCGGTGTGGCCAGAAAGCACTAGCCACGCCGCATATACCAAACAAACTCTCGGTGCGCGCGTCGCCCCTGGGGGGCGACGCACACATAATATCAGTATGTTGGGGTGACGCCGACATCACTCTCTCGTCGCTCAGCAGACGCTACCGCAATTTAGCGCACTGTAGAGACGAAATTGCGAAGACACGCAAGGCATTGGGCTCCCGTTACCAGCCTGGAACATATCCCTATCCCTATGCTGGGCATCTCCTCATCACGATGCCAATCTTAGGGATTCCCTTATTTTTTGAGGGCGCATCCCTAAGATCGTCATCGCCTTCTGGCGTGTCAATCTTAGGGATAGGGATAAGTTCGAGGCTGGTAATCCCGCAAGCTCCTGGTGCCTCCGGACTCTCGGGCGATAGCTGGGGTCTCTGGCGGCCGCTCGCAACGATTCTGGAGCTCAGTGGCCCTCGGAAAGGGCAGGGCCGTTGTTCACCGCTTTCGAAAAAGTGTCTCTTGAAAGGGGACACGGTAAAACAAGCGACCAAACTTTGGAGTCCCTGAACGGTGCGGTGACACACCGTGCTGTGACCTCGAAATCCCCCAAGACCTCACCGCACGGTCCGTCACCGCACGGTCTTGGGACCCTGGAGGCCCCTGTCGCCCGAGCCATCCTCGAAGAGGGACCCGAGTCCCAAAACCGTGCGGTGACTCCGAACCCCCGCCGACTCACCGCACGGTGTGGTCACCGCACCGTTTGGGGGCCCCCGACAAAAACAACCAACAAAAACGGCTCCGGGATTGGAGCCGGAAGCGAACCCAAAAAGCAACGGCGAAGAACCAGCAAAATAACGGAGAAGAGCCGGCAACGAGAACGGCAAAACGGAACCGGTAAACCAACGGCCATTTCGTTTCCAGGGCTCACTAGAGATCATTTTTTTATTCCGGCCGGTAACGCTCGTTACCCGGGGGGGGGGGGGGGTCGTGCCCCCCGGGTAACGGTAACGCTTGGGCTGGGCGGGGTATGGCGAAGCAGGGGCGCTCTGCGATCGCCATAGTATGCGCGCGAGCAGCACTCTCTGCCTGAGAGCACCACAGTGGCTTGCGATTCGAGTACAAGCGCAAAGCCCGCCGCGTGGTCCCGGCACCACGCCCGCGCCCGCGCGCGCGACGACGATGATCGACGAGCGACGAGCGACGAGGTCGACGACGACGACGACGACGTTTGCCGCCTGTTTCGGCCTCCGGAGGCCGTTTTCGGCGCCGTCGACGACGACGACGACGACGACGACGACGACGACGACGACGACGACGATTCGAGTACAAGCGCAAAGCCCGCAAGCACCAGCATCGCGCATGCGAGCGCCGCAATGGCCTGCGAGCGCCCACAGTGCGCCTGCGACCACCACACCACAGTGCGCATGCCTTCGGGCACCAGCATGTTGGAGGGGAAGACCGAGACCCCCCCCGCGTACGAGCGTTACCGTTACGGGGGGGGGGGGGGGGAGGGGGGGGGGGAGAGGCCCGGGTAACGAGCGTTACCCCCCAGAGGATAAAAAAACAATCTCCTAAATCCTGGAGCCTCCGTGCTTTCGGGCCCCAAAGATCCGACCGATGTCGCGATTTTTTTCAGTGAGGGGTCCTGGGATCAAGTCTCGACCCCTTCCCCAGGACCGGTTTTTCACCCTGAGTTGTTTTTTGACGGTCACGAGGCCCGGCGAGGGCCCCTATAGGGGCCGAAATTTGCAAAACAACTCCGTCTTGACTTCTCCAATACGTGGGATCTCCGGGGCGAGCTTGGGTCTCCGGGGGCCGCTCGGAGCGAGCCCCGCGCCGCCATCGGCGTGCGGTCAGCAGCATCCCGAGTCAGGAGGCCTGCCGAAAGCCGACAGCCACGCCCCCTAAGGGCTATCGAGCGGCGTCGGGCTCGACAGCCCTACGACAACGACGACGTCCTCTACAACGACGACGACGACGGCGAGGACGAGGAGGAGGACGAAGACGGCGATGACGACGACGACGACGACGACGACAACGACGCCGCCGGCGGCGACGACGACGATGACGATGACGACGACGACGACGGCGAAGACGACGACGACGGCGAGGGCGAGGACGACGACGACGAGGACGACGACGACGGCGGAGCGGTCGACAATCACGAGGACGACGGCGAGGGCGAGGACCAGGAAGACGACGACGAGGACGAGGGCGACGGCGAGGACGGCGGCGAGGACGGCGGCGAAGACGAGGAGGACGACGACGAGGACGAGGAGGACGACGGCGACGACGAGGACGAAGACGACGAGGACGGTACGGCGAGGTCGGCGGCGACGAAACTATGACCTGGCATGGGGGAAACGGGTCTTGAGTGAAACGGGTCCTGGACCCTGGGGCCTACCCCCTATGACGAAATTCTCGTCCCGAGTCGTCTTCTGACAACCCCGGGGCCCGCGGCGGGCCCCGAAGGCCCGAGAACAGCGAGAAACCTCAGGACCCGTTTCCCTCAGGACCTGTCGTCCATGCTGAATCATGTCCTCGTCGCCGCCAACCTCGCCGTACCACCCTGGCCGACCTCGTCCTCGCCCTGGCCGTCGTCCAACTCACCCTCGTCGCCGTCCTTCTCGTCCTCGTCACCGTCCTCCTCGTCCTCGCCCTCGTCCTCGCCGTCGTCCTCGCCCTCGTCCTCGCCCCCGCCGTCGTCCTCGCCGTCGTCATCGCCCTCGTCCTCGCCGTCGTCCTCGCCGCGAGACGCGAGGACCTTCCAGCCAGAGCACTGCTCCACGTAGCACTCCCCGCCGACCACCCGCGCCTTTCCTCGCACACGGGGGGGGGGGGCGCGCCGTCGGGGACCCTCTCTCGGGCCCTCCCCCTGGAGCCGGCTCGAGACGCTCGCGCCCCCTCGAGGCTCGAGGCTGGGCTCGAGCCTCGAGCCCCCTCGAGGCTCGATGCGCCCGAGCCCCCTCGACCTCTAGCCCCCTCGAGGCTCGAGGCTGGGCTCGAGCTCGAAGCCCGAGCCCTCGGGGCTCGAGCTTCGGAGGCGTTTGCGGGAGCTCTCGCTCGCTCCCTCCCCCTTATCACATCTCTGGGGGTCCCTGGCCTGTCCTATCGCGCCGCTGTCAGCGTCGAGTCCGCGTCAAAATGCACGAGTCCGCATCGACTCCGCGCCGATTCGACGTCGAACCTGCGCCGCATCTGCGTTGCACCCGCGCCGACTGCGCGTCGGACGCCAGCGAAAAACCGTCATTTACCAAGACTTCCGACGTCTCGACTTTTTCGAGACGTGGGCCCCCGACCTCCCGGCCGCTTCCCCGGGGCCGGTTGTTCATCTTGATTCGTTTTTGGACGGTCCCGAGGCCCGGCGGGGGCCCCGAGAGGCCGAAACGACGAAGAACCAACGTCTCGTTGTTTCCGTAGGCCTGGTGTCTGGGTACA